CCTGGGAAAAACTAAGGTTGCTGCTGGAAGAGGTGTTAGTGGGGCCAGCAGGGGGCGCTCACCTAATGCCCCAGTATAGTGATGGGGACATTATACTGTAAACAGGTTGTCATCCTTCAGATGAGACATAAAACCGAGGTCCTGACTGTGTGGTCATTAAAAATCCCAGGGTGTTTCTTGAAAAGAGTAGGGGTATTACCCCGGTGTCCTGGCCAAATTTCCCATTGGCCCTTACCAATCATGGACTCCTAATAATCCCCATCTGTGAACTGGCTTCATTACTCTGCTCTCCTCCCCACTAATAGCTGATGTGTGATGAGCGTTCTGGCGCACTATGGCTGCTGTCGCATCATTGGTGGTGGTGGAGGGGAGTCCCCACTACCTGTAAAGCGCTTTGAGTGGAGTGTACAGAAAAGCAATTATTATTATTATAATCTGGTTTTCCAGAGGGAAGTGAGCATGACAATAAAGATGGTTTCCTGAAAGCACCAATCCCTTCATGGCTTTCAAATTCAGCACTTAGGAACAAAGTGTGGAAACACTGTATTTCTGGAGATTGTTCTCCCAGAAGCTACGATAAGCCCTGAGTGCTCAACTTCAAATTCTACACTATCTTGATAGACAGCTCATTTTGAAAGAAAGCAGGCAAACTGCTCTGTTCACTTAGCTAAAGGAACTGTAACGTTTTACCTGAATTACAGCTAAGTGACAGCCCAGCAAAGACACACCTTTGCAGGAGTGAAGAGATCACTGAGGGAAGCAGGTATCCAGTCTTTTTTTTTTCCTGTATCCCACTGTGCTTAAAGCCCTCTAGGCTGGCAGTCAGTGTCAGTTTACTGTACATCCGCGCAGGAGGCAGAGGAGTTCATCTGATCCGAAGGGACTGCCTCTTCAAATTTTATGCGGTGACAGTTTTTTTAAAGACAGGCATGCAAGTCAGATCAGACATTTTTTTGCCATTCTCTAACATTTATTTTAATTTTCTTCTGTGCCGCGCGCTGCGTCTTGTTGAAAGTGACTTTTGGCTGTACGCCGTGTGTCAAAGGAGTGACATTTCCTTCTGCATTTACTATTTCATCCACAGCCACACCTGACCCCTTGCATTTGTACTAATACTGTTTCTATATATTTTAAAACCCTTTTCTAGATTAACTAATATGTATTCTTTCTAGTAGCTTTGATGAGCTATAATTCATTACTGAAGGGGGTCTTAGCTCCAGCTGGAAGAAAAGCACACCCCATTCAGACTGCAACATACTGTATGCTCAGGAGGCCACAGGGGTAGATGTATCATTGAGAACAGCCAGCTAATCTCTCTCCACTCTGGCACCCAGCCAGTTTCTCTTCATTTACAATTCAATATTTATTATGAAAATAGGAAACATTGGATAAAAGAGGAGCCCATTTGGTCCATCTAGTCTGATTGGTAGTTTATAGTTAATTGATAGAAAGACCTCATCCACTTGTTTCTGTGAAGATGCCAGGGTATCAGGTTCAACATGGCTGGCTAGCTTGTTCCGGATTCCCCAACACTTTGAATACAGAACTGCCTCCTTTTCTCTGTTTTAATGTAACTCCACATAGTGTCATCTAGTTTGTGTTTAACTGTGTATTCTAGACGGACACTGAGGATTTTTTAAAAAAAGTTATTAATCATGTTTATCTTTTTATTTTCTCCTGTTCACATTTCCGTGGTTTCTTCCCAATCAATGCAGGGAAAGTTGATGCCTCCCATAGAACCTATTCTTGTGCATATCCAGTATATTCTTAATTACATTACACAGTATAGTGTTCAATTACAATACCATTAAAAGCAGTATTTATTATCATCTGCATATGGTGGTACTATAATTACCATCTGTATTTGGTGTTTAAAATTAGACCAGTGTTCCCTTTACACATTGAAAATTGCATTGTAGCCTCACAAATATGCAATAAATTATGACATAAAGTTTAGAAGAGAGGCTCTTCCCAAAAAACATGGCATTTTCACTCTTTTGTTTTCCCTAATCTTCCCCTCACAGGTAATTCCCCCTTTTCTGCTTCGCTTCGGAATGATAAAGTGATTTATACTCAAGCAGATACTTTAATGAAGAAGTTTTCACTTGTGCCAGGATTTCCTCTCAGTTCCCTGGCACATTTGTTTTTAACTTGCAGCTTTGTTCTGCCTATGGTGTACCCTTGGGTGAGGGGAAGAGGCCAAAATGTCCTCCTATCATTTGTATCCTTTCTTATGCTCTTATGAGAGTTTTGCTACCCACACCATGCACAATCCATCATCTGCTGAACTTGAGGGGCAAACCAAAGTGTTTAGCTTTCTCTATTTCTGCTTTTAATACAGGATTCACGCGATCATTTAGCACCTGTCAGCATGTTACAGATGAAAGAATGTCCTGGGGCAACATTTGAACAACTATAATTTTGGCATCCAAAATCATGGTATTGTCCTGAGGTTGTCGATTTTTGGATACAGATCCCTTTCTGTTTGTCCATTATTCTAAGTAGGAATATTCCCTGTTGACATGTAGCACTCTTGATGGATGATATCTCTAAACTTGGCCTCTCCCAGTTGGTAGAGGTGTATCTACCTGGTTGGTCTCATCACAGTTAACAATATGTCACTGTTGTCCTGGCTTCATAGGATCCTTCCCTATCACAATATCATGATATCATTTACATGGAGCTTTCTACTGCTTGGTTCCATTTTGCTTGGTTGGGGAGACGGTGGAGATTTGATGCAAGTTGAGTAGAATCTTTTCTATATTGTACTCCTTCCTTTCAATTTTTTGTTTATGTACTTGTATCACTTGAACCTGGAGTAGGATGCCACCATGGTCAGGACTTTTAGGAGATACTGATATTTTGTTCTCTAACAAAGGTTTAAGTGAATAAATACTGGATCACTTAATACCCCTTATAGCTCCATATGCACATATACATATGAATGACAGGAGTTTGTAATGACAGGAGAATGTAAACCACAAACTGAGAATGCCTGCTTCCACTTGCAGCCCTGCAAATAATCTTGCCATGCAAATGTAGTTTACAAATAACAGAGTCAAAATGAAGACTGCAGAAATCCAGGAGGGCTGGAGGAAATAATCTGGGGAGGGAGAATTTGTTTAGCAAAAACAAATCCGATGATATAGGCAGTTTGCTGGAGCCCTGTGTGTCTAGAAATAAGAATCTCAGCCCTCTCCTCCCAGTGAGATGTGCTACCGAGATCCTTTTTTTTTCCTTATTTGTACAACCTTGTCAGACATGTGGGTAAGATAAAAAAAAAACGGAGGTGGGGGATAATAATTTGAATCCTTGCTGACTGTTCTTCCTTGGGCTTCTGTCCTTCAATAATTTAATATACATAATCCCTTCGGCTCTGTCTTTGTAAATAGGTGGAGAGCACTGAACACTGGAAATCTGTAATCCTTTTATTAATAGAATGTCTCTTCAAACATGAGCTCATATAATTATGATGGTGCCACGGCACTGATTCTGACAATATTAAACGATTTCTGAAGATCATTGCATTGTATCTAGTTATAACTCCAGGTATGATGGTCAGCTAGTTAAGAGCAGCATGTCAAAAGATCACACAAGTTCCTGGCAAGCATTCAAAAAATTATTTAACAGGTTCCAACTATTACAAATAAATCATACCAGATATTATTTCTTAGCTTTTATTGTGAAAAATAAAAAAAATAATAATACAGAAGACAGGAATTAATCAGCTTTGTGAACTTTGTTAAATCTTCATTATATTATCTTCATCATATCTTTGTATGTTTTCTAATCATACACCTGGACAAATAGAGGTTTAACTGAAGAAAAGCAGATACTTTGCATGATGGATTTGAGATTTTGATTCCAAACTTGCAAATGCAATGCAACAGAAATAAAACTACTGAATCAAATGCCAACAGATTTATCACAAAGAGCAAATATAATCCTGGACATGGTAGTGAACCTATGTTGAGTATTAGTCATTACTCCTTGTATTGATCATTTCAGATTCAGCCTAATGTTGTCCAGAGTCCCCAAAAAAACTTTGGAAACTGAAGCCTAGAAGAGGTGAATTTATACCTTAAACGTCTTGCTTATAAATTTGTCTGAAAACAAAATTACTGAAAACAAAAATGTTAAATTACATGGCAAAAATAAAATCCATCACTGCTACAAAACTTAATACAGGACTCAGCTTTAAAATGTTTACTTCTGGCCAGTTGGGCTTATTTCACCTGGCAAATAATTGAGTTTGTAGAAGGCTTCAAAAAAGATTTAGATATGTCACGAAGGCTTTTGAGAATTAATGTAAGTCTAATTGGTTTTCATGACAAAAGGTGAAAAATTAATATATAAGAAGATTTTCTGGAAGATGTTCTTCTTTTGAAACTGTATTTATGTCCCCCTTTTTTGTTTTTGTAGCAACAGCAAATAGAATCAGATGATAACAGTGCTTTTAGTTGTTTGCTTCTGAATAGGTGGACTAAAGGCTTCAGGAAAGAGAAAGAGCCCAGTAATGTGAATGGTAATAGGATTTAAAAATAAGCAAATGCTTTGTCCATTTTAACACTGCATGCTGTAATAAGGGATTTGACCTTCTAATGGATACAACTAAGAAAATGTAATAAGATTCTCCAAGGAAAAACACTGTGCAGATAGTAATAAAAATCTTCTTGTTAGAAAGCATGGGAATATAAGGACACTCCACAAAACCATTAACCAGAATACTCCTGTTTAACAAAGACACAACATCAGGTTTTTAAGCAAGAGCTGGATCAAATGTCCAGCCAGGAAATGAAATATTATAATATTCTCTCAACGTATAATGAAAACTTAAGGATTATCTCAAAATTAGAACCAATTTTGCAACAGAGCTCTCCTCAGTCTTAATGGTTTCCTAGTAAACTTCATTATAAGTTTTTATAAAACCCCATTAATGATAGTCATATGAAATAATGGAATGAAAACACTGCTTTAATTTTTTTAAAGCAAACACTTACCTATAGATTTTGTATCTGGTTGTAAATCCTTGACGAAATCTTTCCACAAAGGAGAGATAACCCCGAGAGTGGTGGAAAGGCCCGCGGTCAGAGATGAGCCAATCAAATTGCTTGGAGACATGTTGCTCGGCAACGGATGGATCCTGGCGGGAAGACTGAACTGTTATATGGTCCCATATAAACAGGAAGTAGATGAACTCAATAAACCTCCAGTTCATGCTTTTCTTTCAGCCGCTCTCTGTTCATTCTTGCTCCATTCTGTGGAGACCTGAGAACGAGAAGAAAGACAGAAATACAAGACTTCAGTGCTCAGTGAATTAAACTGCAAGAACACTGCTTCACAAAAGTATCTAACCCTGTTGAGCTTTAACACAGGTTTAAGCATGAAGTCAGGCTTTACATTCTAATGACTATACAGTTTAAATGACCTATAAAGGTGGCTATTATTTTAATGTAGATAAACTGATTGGTATCAAAATAGGTTTAGGCACTGTGTTTTATATTTTGCATTTATATGTTTTTTAGAAAAAAGTGAAGAAAATTAATGGAAAGATAATGGGACAATTCAAGTCTAGTATATAATCTATATTACCCAATTTGGTTTGGTGGTTTTTACCGAAATATTTTCTAGTTATCCCACTGTATTTTTCCATCAGTCTCAGATGAACACCACGGACCAACATGGAACAAATGCAACCTTTCTAAAGTTCTTGGTTACAAGTATCAAGATAGTTGAGACAGGCGGTTAAACAGAAATTCTACTGAAAAATAATTACTTTCTTCACTTTGGATCTTTTGATGAACTAATATGATAAAATGCTCTGCTCCTTAGTTTTAATTTTTGCAGCTTGTCAACTCTTATTCCAATGAGCACATTACTGTGTTCTCAATAGCCACATTTTGCATGTACTGTATAGGTACCAAAGCCTAAATGGAGGAGCACTACTGTAGATCACAGAATATTCCAGTGTTACTCCACAAGGCCTCAGGAACCATATAATTTGCTGATAAGTGAACCATTTGCTACTGTAATTGCATTTAAGAACTTTGGCCTCCAGCTTTTGGAACACCAATACTATGTCACTGCATCAGTGTGAATGAAAAAAATATTTCTTTTAATGCTTTGCTAGACAATGCTGAATTTGGAACAAGACAGATTAATCAGCAAAAAAAAAAAGCCAAAGCTAACTCCAATAGGCAGAGGAGTCTTACTGGATCAAAGCTACAGACATTAAATGCAAGCACTTAGCAGACGTCAGCATTTCGGTTCATATCTAGGATTTTGGGCTTTCAGAAAGTCATACAGTACATTTTGTACATACAGTGCATACACTGTATATTCTTGATAGATAATTGACGTTGAATTATGCTAAAATAATTTAAATTGCTAAATAATTTAAATAATGATATAGATCAAATCAGATACTGTACTGGTACAGACAATTTATAAGAGTACAAATACAGTAATCCCTTGCAATATGCAAACTTACCTTGCACTGCTTTGAGAATTGGTGCAGAATTTTCTGTATACTATTTTGCCTCGCACGAGTTTTGAGTATTCGTGAGTTCAAGATGCATCTTTGAGCTGCAATGCGCACTAGCTCGAGAATTCTTTTCACAAGAGGAGAGAAAACAACCCAGCAGTCTGATTTAATTATTTCTCAGTCAGCCTTCTGTAGGAGTAGATGTGTTCGCAATTTCTCTCACATTCTTCAGTGTTCTGTGCATATTGGTGTACATTATTCCATTGGTTCTTGATAGTTATTAATATTTGATTGCACAAACAAGTAGTAGTGATAGTGATTTTCTAAATAAAAGTGACAGTCATTAGTTACATGATAATTAAATTAGTATAAATTAAAAATGGCTCCTAAGTGTTTGAAAAATGATGAAGAGTCCAGTGTTGCTAAGTGATCTAGATATGTGACGAGCTTAGAAGAAAAAACTAAAGCACTTGATAAGCTGCGTGAAGAACTAAGTAATGGTGCTGTTGGTTGGCTGCTTGGTGTTAATGTATCTAGAATTTGTACTATGAACAAAAGTGAGGAAACTACAGATATCAGAGCAAGTGTAAGAACAAGTTCTGGTACATGCCAATGCCTGATCAACATAGGTGTCATCACAGCAATAAAGAATTATGGCAAAAACACATTTAAAAACTATCTATACAATATTATTTTCAGAATACATTGGGGGTTTTTTTCTTTACTCTTGTACACTCTTAGGTGAACAAATATTTGAAGGATTTTAAAAGGTTGAATTGTTACTTCAGTTGCCCTAACCCTCTTTTCCCCATAAGGTCTTAAGTTTACCAACCACATATTTATCTACCACTATTGCTTTCAGGAACAGAGCACTCATGTTTGCAAGGGATTACTGTATAACTGAAGAAAGTCACAAGCCTTCTTCAGTTTTGTGAACAATTTGCTGGTAAGGAAACAAATAGGAAATAACTTAGAATGATGTATTACTAAATATGTCACAAACGAAACTAATATTTATAGACTGTACATTCCAAGTGAGTTCCAGAGCCCAAAACACCACCTCACACATTTTCACCCTGAATTTCTAACAGACTCTACTTACAGGCAGATGTGGATGTTTGTCTTTATCTGGAAAAGTAAACCTACCTTTCACAAAAAAAAAATGATCCTCCAAAGCTAAGCCTACACTCTTGACTAATGTTAAAGTCCCTGCTGTATCTCTTCTCTCTCCTTTTCTTTGCTTCTCTCATTCTCCTATCACTTCTAGAAAGCTTCAGGCTCAAAACTATTCAATTGTCACCAAACTGACAGCCTGGAAGAAAATGGCAGGACCACATTGGCCCCAGAACACCCAGGAACCTGCTCTTCCATTAAGTGGAGTTACTGATAGAGTGCACTCAATTATTACAGGTACAAACATTATCATGTTCACAAGTAATAGGAAGTCTCGTATCAGCTGTTGTTTGCCTGGTGCCCAGGATGCTGGAACAAATGATATAGGAAAACATTGGTTGATGAATTTGTAAAGACAAACCTTCTCAGGAATTCTACAAGTGCCAAGGGCAACAGTAACAAAAAATCTGAAACAAAAAATGCATCCATTTGTAAATGCTAATATCACATTACTAGAATCAGAAGAAAAACATCTATTCATGACTACTGCATTAACTGAAGTAAGACATTTTAGGAGTATCAGAAATTTGGCTAGGGGAGTGTGAGGGGAAATAGCAGAAAATTGATGGGTGTTTGTTTAAACGCAGGTAGGATGGTGGTACTGTATAGCACTATTTGTCAAAAACCTTGAAATTATATATAGCTGAAGATCTGAAGCAGGACAGCGCAGGCAGTTTAGAATAAGATCCTAACAATAGGTGTTATAAACCACCTAATGCATACAAAAACACATATAGCTTACTTTTCGATGTGATGGAAAGTATGTACATTAGCAAAGGAAAAGTTATATTGTTGGGATTTTTTTTTAACTTTCCACTCTTAAATTGGGATTTGCAGAGATCACAAAGCCAAAAAAGATACAGCTGAAATGGCATGATTGCTTCTTTATCCAGTTTGTAAAAACTGGAAAGATAATATTAAGCTTATCTTTTCCAACAGCCACGATGCAGTGAAAGAATAGATATCATAGTGTCATTGGGAAATTGTGACCATAATATCTGTTGATGTAGAGTTTCAATGTATATAACTTGAGTCAATCATTAGAGTGTATAATTTTAGGAAAGCAAATGGAATAAATAATTAATAATAATAATAATAATTGCTTACACTTATATAGCGCTTTTCTGGACACTCCACTCAAAGTGGTTTACAGGTAATGGGGACTCCCCTCCACTGCCACCAATGTGCAGCATCCACCTGGATGATGCGAAAGCAGCCATAGTGCGCCAGAACACTCACCCCACATCAGCTGTAAGTGGGGAGGAGAGCAGAGTAATGAAGCCAATTCATAGATGGGGATTATTAGGATGCCATGATTAGTAAAGGCCAATTGGAAATTCAAGCCAGGATGCCAGGGTTATATCCCTACTATTTTCAAGAAACACCCTGGGATTTTTAATGACTACACAGTGTCAGGACTTTGGTTTTATGTCTCATCTGGAGGACATCATCTGTTTATAGTATAGTGTCCCCGTCACTATACTGAGGCTTTAGGACCCACATGGACTACAGGGTGAGCACCCCCTGCTGGCCCCACTAACACCTCTTCCAGCAGCAACCTTTAGTTTTTCCCAGGAGGTCTCCCACCTACATACTGACCAGGCTCACATCTGCTTAGCTTCAGTGGGTTGCCATTTGTGAGTTGCAGAGTGATATGGCTGCTGGCCATATCAAAGAAAGAGATTACAGACAGTGAACTGGGAAAATTCAAAGCAACAGAATGTTTCACAGACTACATAAAAAGGCACAAGTATCAAAGCTAGAAAAAGAATATACTAAGCTCCAGGCACATCTGAGAATGGCATTAGAATTGCCAAGTAGGAGACGAAAAAGAATATTGCATTAGAGACTAAAATAAAGCAAAGCATTTTTATATTGCAACAACAGTAATATAAACTCCATAAGCCGGAGTTAATAGTTTGGGGGGTAACACAGATTAATAAGTCATTAACCTAGATGTCTTCTTCAGAATTAACAATGAAACACAACCCGTAGGAGACCAGTGGAAACTATGGGGAACTGCATTTAAAACAGAGATCAAGAAAAGGGTAATCCAGAAAAAGCTTCATGGCCATTTTGTTGAATCCAATACCCAAACTTTCAATCAATAACTGGGTGATATCTTCAGATCAATCAGCTAGATACTATATATGGCCTCCTCTCATTTGAAACCTTTCTTACATTCCTGGAAAACTGGTCACTCTAACTCAGTTTTTCTTTTATTTGCCATAGTTTATTCACTTTTGTTAAATTCAATTTTAGTTTCACTATTTACTAAACTACTACGCTACCATATGAGTATGATGTGCCAAAAAGCCTCCTCTTCTATGCCTCATTTCCTATTTTCCTAGTTAACTGTGAGCTTTGTTATAATAATATAATGTTTCTTTATTAGCCCTATACAATTTCTTGCATTAGGAATTCGTCTTTTCGCATACCCCAGCTTTTCTCCATGGAGACACAGACAGGGAGAGAAGCTTGGGGTCAGAGCACAGGGTCTGCCATTGTACGGCACCCCTGGAGCAGTTGGGGTTAAGGGCCTTGCTCAGGGGCCCAACGGAGTAGGATTCCTCTGCCGGCTGCAGGATTTGAACCGGTAACCTTCCGGTCA